TTAAGATATGTAATGCATATAAAGTTTTGATTATACGATTGCTATTGTTTTTTTGTTTCCAAGCTCACATTCATCAGCAAACTCCCTACTATAATTATACAAATATAGACTGTGCCAATAATAGAACCACCTAACGCGTGTTCTTAATAGATATGGTGACTCATTTCCGTTTTATATCAAGTAAAATGAAGGCTGAAAACATAATTGAACTTTCAAAACAATTACGCGATTATGATTTTTTTTAACATTAATAGTTACATTGTGTACCTATAGCAATTTGAAAAGCTATGCAAATAAAAAAAAGGTAATTATTACATAACAGAATATTTGAATATTGTCTATAAAAGATTTTCCTCATATAATAGCCCTGCGATTCTATAAAAATCCAAACCCGAATTCGAATTTCCGAATTCACAAAAGCGGCATCCGCTCAATCTTGAATTGGTAATAACGTTCATGGCATAAGTGAAGTGAGTTTCGAAATGACATAGCAATATAAAAATACAATAAAAATCTGAGACACATGTAATCAAGCAATTTTATTTTGTATTTCTATAAAAAATGGAATCAATAGAATTCCTTAACTGAATGACGTGAATTTTGACATATGAGTGAATTCAAATTCGGGTTCAGTTTACAGAATAGCCCTGCTGATCCAAAACGATCAGCAAATGTGGTGACCGATGACCAGTGACGTATCAAGGGGGCGCATCCGTTACGTGAAAATGTACAAAATTAAATCTCTGACAAAAACTGTTGACCGAATGTCCCCGAAACATTTTACAGACCGAAAAGGGTAAACTATTATTCTCGGGGCGACAGGACAATTTCCTGACCAAGTGACATACCAGTTAACGTCACTAACATTCATTCTATGTTTTGATTTGTAGTTGTTCTAAAATTCTTTCATACACTATTGTTAGACGTTCGTCTTCACAGTACATTACAATATTATACGAGTGATATATTTTTATGTATTACTTATTAGATTATTTAAACTGATTTCCAGACATGTATAAGCAAATTTGGTTCTGATGCGACCGCATGTCATACCAATGTCAACATTATTTAAATTGAGCTTACATCGGAAACGCTCGATCTGTATCTAAAGTTACTCCAGAATAAAAATGTGGAATACGTTATTCCCTGTGTACAAATAAATTGGCATTCTGTGACCGCCACAGAAACGCAATAAATACACGGAAACATCTTACTGTACGGTATTGTGACTTGAAATAGTAATGCTGTCTTGTGAAATGAGATGTATGTCTAGACAAAGATTTGTGTTTCGATGCCAGTTTCTTCAAACTAAGGGGCTAATATTATATATTTTTTTATGTATCCACTGAAGGTATTATGCATCTAATTGCATAATAAGATAATCATTTTAAGCAGCGCGCGTTACACTTAACGAGATAATTAGAATAAAATTTGGATTGACATATAATTCACTATAGGTAAACGAAAAAAATATACGCATATGTTTAATTATTTCAACAAAAAAATACATTTCTTGAACGTACAGATTTACCTTATAATACATAATATAATTGCTTCTCAAGTAGCTGAGTAGTATGTCGACAACAAAGGACATATTGTTGCGAGAAAATTCTAATATGAATATCTAACTATGAATGTGAAATTAAATCTTATCAAATAAACGACCTGTATTTCTAAATTGACATTAAATAAATCTTCACAATACTAAGAAAAAAAATCAGTCATCCAAATTTGAGATCTACATTTTAAAGTCGGTCAATTATATGTCTCGAATTCTAATTGCTTTTGGATTGATTGTCTACTAGCATGGTATTCAAATCTGTATTAGGTACTCTACTGCGTTGGAATTCAAAGTAACTTTGCCTCGTAACCGCCACATGCCTATACGTATTCCACCTTTATCCCACCCCACCGAATAGAGGAACCGGACAGTGGGGTAAAACTAGATAACTGAAACAAACTTTACTCGTTTAAATTTAGCGGGGAAACAGCCTTAGACTGCGTGCGCGGTAAGGAAACTTCTCTTCTCCATTATATCAGAGTTACGTTAATTGAGTTTTTGATTAAAAATCTTTTGACTCAAATTAGTTTAATAAAAAAATAATATTGCTCTTAGAATTATAATCTACCTTCATCATAAATCTGTCATTTACATAATCAATAACATCCACTTAGAAAATAGCTTCCAGTGTGTAATAAAGATAAATTTAAAAACAAATTTTCAATCTAAAAACTATCAAGAGCCAATAAGCGACCGAAGAAGCGTACTAAGGAAAATGCAAAAATTTCAGTAACTTCAGAGGACGACCGAATACCAATCAATCATGTTTCCACGAGGTGGCCTGGCTAACCGAAAATAGCACGACACTACCAGCCGCCACCACCTGGAATATGTATATAATAAAGGGGGAGGCGAGGGCAGAACGGGCGCAGAAAATCAATAAAGCGAGCTACGAGCATCAAAACATGCCTCGTCCCGCGCCCGCAGCAGCGCGTCCCCCCGCTCACCCTGAATCCTCCCGCCACCCCGTCTCCCGGGGAAACCCTCAAACCCACCCCGTGTTTGGCAGACGCCGTCCTTGATCTCCCCCTCTCGCCCGGGCGGGCAAGTTTGGATAAACACTCCTATCGTCTCTCATTGAATTGGGTCGCATATGCGTTATACTTTTTACTGTCCACCCTTTCAGTTTGCATGTCTAATAGTGTTCTGACCCGTTGAGGGGGCATCGAATTATAAGCAGGAATGTGAAATGATGCACGAAGATTATATTTGACGCGTAGTCTCTTTGTTCGAAATGCTTAGAGCCGGATTGGGCTTGTACCGGGCCCCTCGGCTAGGGAGGGGGGTGCTACCTACATATCCCAATATCAATGGTTGATATGATAACAAAATGTACAAAAGTGACGTCGTTCACATTTTTCTATAAATTCATACTGGTACATTGGGAACTGAATATTCATTTTTATATTATTTCTTGTTTGAATCTCTCTATTTTACGTAGATTTAATTACTCCTTCGTAGTGAGTTATTTATAGCGATTGGCAAATTGATTTTATGATGTAAAATCAAAGTGGTTTTATTACGAGACGAGATTTTATTTTAAGTGGGTATTATTATCTAGAATCACTAATATCTATAGTCTAAAATCATGTATACATGATATATTATATGATTAATACTTGACCAACTCTATCAATACCGAATAGTACATGCAAAAATATGTATGATTATATACTTAACTTGTGGTAGTCTAAATACTTTAGTATAAATAAAATGAGGGAGGCTCCAGCGCACACTACTGAAATATTGTATATGTTGTAAAGTCTTTATTTAGCATTTATGAATTTAAGTCACAATTCTATGTCTACAGCGCAAATAAAATTAATAATAATTGTATTTTCTATTCATTATACATACGTAAAAAGTTAATTAGTAAATTAAGTATTGTATAAAATACGAAACAAGGATAAATCTTTTCGAGTTATTTATCTGTTATACGGTATAGAAGATATAACATTAAAGTAGTAAATCTAAATTCGCATAAAACACCCAGTATAGCTCGAGGCTTACGCTGGCATAAGCCGAGATTAAAGATAAATATATAAACTACAAATAGCGGGTTTAATAAATGAAACCTACGCAAGTAATTCATCAACGCTGGCCAAGAAAACTAAAGTAATGGGCACTATTAATAAATCTATCACTTAGTACGATGTTAAGTTATTTGAAATACTTCTATAGTAACTCGTAATATATAAGAGTAAATTCACCAGTAACCACATTTAGTAACTTCTGCCACTTTAGAGTGTGGTACATTGCATAATATATTATAATATTCAGAGATTTAAGATTTAGTTCATATAGTTTGTAAGTAAAACAAAACAAATTTTTATTTATATGACCTATTTAAAAAAGTATATGACGTGTTTTTATAACAGAATAATTCTACAGTTGATTTTTATAATAATGTTTCTAATTGAACGTGTTACGATTAAGAGTGGGTATTAAAGTAGTGAGAAACATGACGACATCGCAAGGTCAGGCAGCAAGACTTATATAGAAATAAATAGGTGATGGTATATTGTGCGAGATAAAGAGTGAAATAGGAGATTATAATACAATGGGCTAAAATTACCTGTTATTACGAGGTAACACACTTTGCATTAAATAAAAACTTTTCTGTGACATAAGAACGAAAAAAATGCTTTTCTCCAAGAGAACGTAATCCTATTTTAGCTTCACCATAGTTTTTATGCGCTAAAATGAAAGAATTTGAGTAAAAAATATATACTTACTTGATTAATTTATATCTTAAGCTAAGTTTAGTTTTAATATTTTTAATTCAAATGATACATTTAGAAAAGTGAAGAAATTTCTAATTCTATTTTATATTATCAGTTCATTTGAAATTTTTATTTTTTGTACACGATAAAATTGTTATAGTGAATTTATGTCTTTGATGTACTAAATTCTAAATATATATTTTATAGGTCAACAATTTAAGCAAATATTATTTGTATTAGTTCAATATTGATTTATTGCCTTGAGTGCTATCAATATTATTATATATTATCAATGGAAATATACGTGTTTATTTACAAACTTTTAAAATTATAATGTCATGTCTTATGGCTTATTAAATATCAATTAATGTATTATCCACATGGACTTATAACATTACCATTGCATTGCACTAACAATATCGGTCCATGTTAAACAACAGAAATTTTAAGTGTTCATACTTCAGAATATGTATTTTTCATTATTGCAAATTAAGTTAAATGTGACAGCATTATCGGCGCGTAAAGAATAAAAAACTTTGTACCGTATTTCATGCTAAAATGACAACACTACGAGTTTAATCATCGCCAAGAACACGTTAAAAAATAGTTTATTAAACCAGCAACTTTTAACGGGTGAATGGGACCTTTTTGCCATTTCCTTCGTTGTTTATACATAATTGTGTTTTCTTATTTGGATACTGTTTGTTTTAAATTACCTGATATGGCTGTAAGGTAGCGTAATCGAGGAACTGGAGCTGATGATCATGCAGAAACTCTACTGGTTGAGCGTCGGCCTGTAACGTCACGTCCGCCGCTAATGGTGTGAACGTCTGTAACAAAGAGCTATTGCTTAACTAAATCGTTATTTCCACAATTTATCGAGATTTCATTTGAAGACAGCAGACAAATACTATAATAGAAAATAAAATCGAAGGTGATTTAGGAAAATAATGATGTATTTTACAAAATATAAGAGTAAAAAAAACTTGACAATTTGTCGAAAACTAGCTACAAAGCGACTAACATTCCTAATATTTTTTATCATAAAAAAAATATATATATATTATTAGGAGCTTTTACTTGAACAACTTGAATATAACTCTTTTTCGGGCTTTTATAAAAGTTAGAATTTGAGAGCAAAAACTTTTAGTATCCAAAAGTTTAGTTTTCTGACCTACTTTCATTTTCGATTATAGGTCAAAATATTCGAATTTCTTGCATCGATCGCACATAGCGCCCCTAGAGGTAACTATAAAGAATTATTAAAAAAAAAATTGTAATCATAAAACGTACCACCCAATTCATTTTAATGTCATTTAAAGAAAATCATAGACAATTTAAGTGTATTTAAAGAAAAATATAATCAAATTATCATTGCCAAAATAAAATCAAGGTTATTTTTTTCAAGTCTTATCACATTTCCTTAAAGTGGACGCAGGAAATCACAAAAAATGAACACCAATAGGCCAGCAATATACCAATTGCCATTCACCATACACAGTTGAGAAACTGTACGTGATACTCATACAAACATAGTCTCCAGACGTCTAGAGCGGAGGTCACAACCACAGTACAGAATATTTTGTTACAACCCTGGGAATTTGCATGTCTTGATCAGGTCTTAATACCTATGTTGATATGATGGCAGAATTATTAAAACAAGGTATGAAAACTAGGCATTAATAAGTTGTTTAGCTCGGCTTTGATAGTCGGCCAATAGTGTATAACAGTATTTTCAAACAAGTGAGGGAGGATTACCTTAAGTACTTCATCATCAGGCTATTAATGTCCCCACTGGGGCACAGGCCTTTCTTGATGATTCAATCAAATTAAATCGAAAAGGAAGGGTCTTGACCCACCACGCAGGTCAAGTGCGTATTGGTGGTAAAGACTGCAGATGCCACCAGGACCTACGAAGATCTCGATAAAAATTCGGTCACCCATCCTATGACAGGCCCTTGCGAAACTTGCTTAACTTCCACATTGTAGAATAAACGCACCTACCACTGTGGTATCGAGCTTCCTGCTAAATAAAAATACCTAACAAGTACAAACAGCAGCAAATATGAGTTTAAAAAAGCCTTTCTGTTATCATTTTTGAACTAAAAGAGCAATCTAAAAGGCTATCTGAAATCGAATAAATAAATTTCATATTTTGTAAAACTTGATGTGCTGGTAATAAACTGTAGCTCTTAATTTTGCTTACATAATTTCTAAATCAATACAAGTGTCAGTCAATATTCTAGATTTAGACATTAATGATAAGTTCAGTCTTTATGTTTCAAGATAATTATTTGGATTCCACTTCGACATTTCAGTTACTAGTAGTGCCATCTATCGATCGGAAGCGGAACTTATAATAACCGCATATAGAGTCCACGCGCTGTAGTAGTTACAAAGTAGAAGACAAAAGATGGAGTTATGGAAAAGTTCTTACCAACGCCGGCCATTTTGCATCTTTTCCATCGACGTGCCTAGGAGCCCATACTAAAGTTCTTTCCACTAAAAACACTCGAAACGTCCTCCGTGAATAAACTGCCACCCATTCACGTCGTTGCCAATCTACACCATCGTATTCCACTAGCACCTGCAACAAGAAAGACGTGATTTAATACGCTTTCATAATAATATTAAATATTTTATACACAATCTAAGAATTTTAAAAGTAAGACACCAAATTTAAGACTTCTCAGCGCCATCTAGCGGTGGGAAGTTGAATTATCAGTAGCATAATGTATATGCTACGCAGTGAATAACTGGGTCGTCAATGCTTTTGTGAGTTGTTAGTTTGTCTTTCGACGCTAGAGGGCAATACTTGTATTAACACTGGCCACACCCTTACTATGCACCGATCGTAACATTACAATAACAGTGACAGAGAGAAAAGATTGTGAAAAAGAAACGGCAACAATAACAAATCTATATGAGTAGATAGAAAATGAGTAGGTAGGTGTGTAATAGGAAATAAACACATAGTATATATAGTGCAATTATAGTAAACTACTATTGATAGTTATTTACTCTATTCACAATATGTATTACTTTATGAACTACATGAATAATTTCCATTGCAGTCTTTTACCAAGCCGTTATCAAATCTACGACCAAGTAGGTAGGTGGTAATGAGGTAATATGACAAATTACCTTCACTTCAGCGGTTCTCACGCTTTTTTGGCAAGGAAACCCTTTTGAAAACTAAAATAAATAGTTTCATATGTGGGTATGTACTGTTGTAAATTCATTTTATAGATAATTATCACATACTTTAACACCGATCGTTGTCATATTTTGACTATAATTTCATGGGATTCCAACATATTTATGAAACACTGTTCTAATTAATTAATATATACAATTATTGATATATATGTATATATATATATTTGAATTAGAACAGTTCTTTCAAGAAGACTGACTATAAAAGGGAAACTATCGCGGCTATGAGAACTATTTAAATATAATTAAATAGTTATTTAAAGAAAAAAATATTGATATTTTGTAACGGTAGTTCTCTCAGTTTCCTACCAAACTTTTGTTAGTTACGAGTATCATAGCCACGATGGTTTCCATTTATAGTCAGTCTTCTTGAAAGATTTATTGTTTGAATAACTACCTAATAGGTACTATTTTAGCAATCGTTTTCTTGTTCTTAGTGACATTTTCCATGCGAAAGGTTACGATTGCGAACAATATAACGTTCCAAGTAAACAAAACATATACATTCAACATATTATACATAGAGAAATGTAGCCAGCAACGTAAACAAATAACTCGTGACCGCGAGATACTGTGACAAGGTCTCAGTGCTCATGACATGGGCTTCGCTGAAACTGGGGCGATTATACCATCGGCTGATGAAGCTTCATTAAAATTTTGCCGAGTTCAGCAATATTTTCATTAAATTATAATCAGTATAATTCAATAAGTAACAAAATAAAATTGGAAACATAAAAATATATTTATACCTATGTTTAGAAAAGCATGATGATTCATATAATCTGCGACTCGCTTACTTCACAGACAACCTGTCTCGAATTATTATTATTATTATTCAGTTATGTTCAAATGATAATAATGGGGAATTAATTTAATATGGACAATATCGACTGGATTCTTTATGACCATCAAACGTTTCCGGGCCATCGCAAGTTCATTTTATTTTATAGATATGCTTTCTGAATGTAATTTAGTGCAGTTTAACCCGTGTAAAAATGTTAATAATAGAATTTTAGATCTAGTTCTTGCTAATGGTGAATTATCTGTATCAGCGTGTCCGGATCTTTTGGTGCATGCGGATACGCATCATAAGTTGCTCGTCGTGAATATGAATTGTTTATTTACCGAATCCCTTAAAGTTAAACCTAGAAAGTTATATTTTTTTTAAGAAAAAAATATTGACTTATTGAATAGGATGGATTAGGAGGATTATTTAAAACATAATTCATTAAAAGAATCACTAAAACATACAAATACTCACATAAAAATACTCAGCGAACTAATCACCCGCTCTGTTAAAAAGAAAAACGCAAATATCTAAGTAGATATCGCATATAATGGCAGCATTGATGATTATCAGACTTTTTTTAAGAGAGCTAAAAATATTAAAAAGGGCTGTTACCTAGATTAAATAACAATAACCCCAAACTTTTTTGGAGTTATTGTCAAATATAAAAAAAATACTAATCAATCAATTTTACAGAAGCTTCTTGCTGCAGAAATACACGGAAACTTATTTAGATGGTTTTCATCTTATATACATAACCGTTCTCAGGCTGTGGCAATTAACGGTTTTGTTTCTGCATGGCATAGTATACCTCCTGGGGTTCCCCAGGGCTCCTTGATAGGGCCTTTGATATTTAATATTTTTATTAATGATATAAGGGTTTGTTTCCTACACTCTAATTTCTTACATAATTTTTTACGAACTGGCATTCATAAAATGCAAATTGGATTTCTCAAAATTTCAAATTACGAAAGGTGAATAATAAAAAGAAATTATGTTCAAGATCAAAGACAAAAAGTTTGCATACGGATACCTAGGACGAAATAAAACGGCCGGTGGTACGACGCACCGTTACACTCTTTCACGCAAAAACGACTAAATGGATAATTTGGTAGGTATACGGACAATTCTTAGCTTGCATTAACATAAAGGATATTTTTTACTCCGGTAAAAGCTAAACAGTTTCTTGTGGACCACGCGGGCGCAGCCGCTCGCAGTGAAATTGAGTTTTGAATTTAAACTTATTTTTGCCCCGGCTAATTCTTATAAAAGATCTGGTTTTCTGTCCCAATAAAAGAACACAGCAATGCCAACTACTTAAATATACGTGGCGACAAAGTCCATCATTAGAAACAAGGTATAATCAATGTCAATTTGCCAATTTTTTGTTTTACACACCTCTAAATTTTCAAATTAAATTCAATAACAGCCAAACAAGAAAATTCGTCAGTCCTGTTGGGACCTGGGTAGCCAGTGGTTAGAGCAGTCACCCGGATTGAGTAAGGTAGTGGTAGGAGTAACCTGATGGTGGATTGATGAAATATAACAAAATAAAGACAAAAATAATAAAAATTGTAATATAATCTCGTTGCTTGATGCCTTCCTTGAATTAACTTTCCTCTTTTATAGTGAATTGAAGGGCAATAACAATATGAAATTTCAAGATGATAACTTCTGTGTATCGTAGAGCTCGATATGGCGAAGAATTTACGACTGACTTATGTTATTCGAACTCTGACGGATTATTATCTAATAAACAGGCATGTTATCTTTGCTCTTCATATGAGAAGATCATGCATCGATTTTCATCATGTTATTATTAGATTTATTTGCCCTGAAAAGGCACCGTAACAACTGGACCCATATTTAAAATTCTTTCATCTGCGGCATAGACTATAATTTATTCGGGCGAAGTCGCGGGAAAAAAGCTAGTCGTCTATAAAAGCTTGTCTTGTAAAAAAAGGAAAGGAAGGAAGTTCTCAGTTCAACCTGTTTGTATATATATATGTTTGTGCGCGATTATCTCACGTTTGGCAGAACCGATTTTGATGCGGTTCATTGTATTTGTCAGATTTAGGAGAAGATTTTAGGAATATTAACCGATTAAAAATGGAGGTTCGCACTTTGACACCGTTTTGACCCGGTTTTTAATTGTTACTTATTATTATATGAAAAATATCAATATCACTAAAAAGCATGAAATAAATCTTAAAAAACAAAATAGAACCGACTTCAAACTTAAAAAAGTGAAAAATAATACTTATCTTTAAAGCGAATTATTCAAAAAAATATTATTAAAGTTAGGTGCCTATCATTTAATTAATAACCTACAGTAAATCTCCACCCGGTTTTAATAGCATTATCTTGAAGATATAAGTATTATTTACGCTTTTGAGATAAGTATTATTTTTCACTTTTTTTAAATTGCAAAATACAGATTCGCTCCCTATTGTAATGTTTTTAACATTACATTAAATCTATAGTATATTAAAAATCCATTGTCTTTACAAGCCAGTGGTGGATGTCACGCTGAGGGTAAACAATTAAATCTATATTGAATAGTAGTTATGTACCTATTTAATTTTAAAATATTTTTGCTCGAATAAGGAGCTAGCTACATATATCCTTTAATTTAAATTTAAGAGACCTATAGTAAAACACTAAAAGATAATGAAAAAGTTGATACTGCAATAGCAAAAAATACAAATCGGTAATAATAAACTCGTAATTTAAAATTAGCAGTTAATTTTTTTTGGATTTTATAAAATTCAAAATGTCTAATAGCTCAAGATAAAACTGGCAGCCTTACCTGTACTGATGCCCGATTGCAGTCTTTGTTTCACCCGGTCAACAACCTTAATATACCTGTTTTTGCCCTCTTACTATAATTAAAATATCAGTTTTGTATGTTGCCTCTCCGAAATAAAAACTTTGGATGTGAAAGAAAATAAAAACACCATCAAAATATATGTAAAATACTCGCTATCTTAAAACACGTGAAATTCCCAGTTTATTGAGTTTTTTTGTAATGGCAATACTGATGTGTAGTTTTGTTTGTAGAAAAACATAATTGGTTTTTACTCAACCAATCTGTATCTTTGGGAGTAAATATTCCATTAAATAAAGGTTAGTGACACTTAAAGCCATTTTATGAATGTTACGTTATTATCAGTTGATTTTTGTGACAGTATTTCGCACTATAGAAGTGCGAAATACTAAGGCTGACATATTTATGTTTTCGCTTCGATACCAATATGAAAAACTTACTGTTCCTCAGCAATTGTATAAAAACAGTAATAACGTGAGCACTAAATGATGGATGTATTAAATGTTACACAATATCATACATTGTTCAGATTCCAAGATGAGTAGTCAAAGCCCCCGTATTATGGAGTATCTGAGAACAACGAAAGTAACACAACACCCAGACCCGACACAATATAGAAAAGTTCATTTTCTACATTGACCCGACCGGGGATCGAACCCGGGACCTCAGAGATGGCGACACCTTGAAACCGGCGTGCGAACCACTCAGTTACGGAGGTCGTCGGTATTAAATAGTTACTATTACCAACGTATATGTG